ATGAAGACAGGATTGGGGAGAGCTATCGAAATTGAGCTACATGTACTAACAAGTACACAATGTCCTTTTTTATTTTGCAGCAATTCTTGTTAAAAGACTGTGATTTGGACAGAAGAGAACCACCATTGAAATTTATGTTAAAGAAGAACCCACATCACTCCAGGGGTGAGATGAAACTGTATCTCAAATTACAGGTACATGTAACAGAAATATTTTTGTCCTCTTTAATGCTTGTACATAATTTACCACCTTTACCTTAAATCTCTCCGTGCCAGAAGGCACATAAGGCTGTCATGTTGCTTTCCCAACCCGCCCTGTATGTGCCGCTGCTTTGGCTACATTCCAACTCGCCCATCCTGCCTTGTTCCACTCTTTTTCCACAGTTCTTCTCCAAGTCGTCTTTGGTCTTCCTCTTCGACCTTCGACCTTCTGGCGTCCACCCTAGACATAATTTACCACACCTTCCACAAAATTTGATTTATTAAAAATTATATAGGAAAAGGTACTTTCATTTTGATTGACAAGTAAATTTTAGGTTGTGAATGCAAAGTTGCAAAGTCAGATGAACGTGGTACAAAAAAAAAATGGCTTTTCACACCCCAGGCTCAAAACAGGGCCTCTCAATCCAGAGTCTAATACACCAACCATTATATATATGCTACTGTTTCTAAATAAGCTTAACATAACAATAATTTCTTGCAGATTGTTCAACGTGCTCATGATGTGTGGGGAGGAGAGGAAGGACTTGAAGAAGCAAAAGAAGATAAAGCTGAAAAGAGAGAAACACAAAAACAAAGAAAGTTTGACAAGAAAGTTAAAGGTAGCCACCCCTTCCTTCTTTCACATTGTCCATCCCTAGTTTGGACCAAAACATTAAAGGAAATCAATCCAATTTTCACTGACACAATAGAGAAACTGTGCTGTTATGCACTACAGTCGAACCTCCTGTAAGCGGACATCCTTGGGACCAGAAAAAGTGTCTGCTTAAGAGAGGTGTCCGCTTATGGAAGGTTAAAAATGTAGTGTTTGTATGTAGCTGGGTACATGAGAGGTGTCCACCTAAGGGAGGTGTCCGTTAGCAGAGGTTCGACTGTATCAAAATCATCACAACTTGATAGAATAAGATGGAATTGGGAATCAATAATGAAAAAAAATGAAACCAAAAAATTAAGGTGCATAATGAACCCTATGTACAGTGTACAAATCAAGATTTAACAATATTTAGTCTTTTCTTCTGCAGAGCTTCGCCGTGCCGTCAGAACAAGTACATGGAAAAAAGATACAAGACGACATGAGCATGAGTTCGCTGAAGCCGAGGTTTATAACGAGGAAACTGATGAATGGACAAAAACATGCAAGACGTGTGACTATCAACTGACATATGAAAAGATGTAACACAAAATAACTGTAAATTTATTTATTTCAAACCCTGTACATACAGTAATTATATATATTTACATCCAATGATAAAAAATACCAGTATACCAGTAACTAACTTGATGTTACACTTATTACAGATTGTACAATAAATTTATTTTACTCAAGTCTACTCAGTCATGAACAAAGCTAACCTGCGATCCTACCTGCGATCAGGCAAGTTTTTCTGTGCTCTCATTATTTACTCTTCGTTGAAAAATTACACATTTTTTCGTGCGACCCGATCCAAAAATAGTGAAATACAGTGTAGTTATCACCCCCGTAAAGAGAATAAGGAGCGTGAAAAATAATTATTGGCCTGATCGCAGGTTAGAACAAAGCAGCTTCATGTCATCTTTTCAAGGTGATCCTTTACTAAAGTGACTATACTTGTAACTTCAGCCATTGCCCCAACACCTAAAAAATACATGGAAAATAAATTAATATAATATTAATACAAAAATTGCTTTTCCCAAAGCTTTTTTGACACTTGGGCAGATCTTGAACATTTTCAGCAATCTTACCTGTGTCCTTACAAGCTAGAGTCTTTCTGATTGGTGAAACGTGAGTATATCCCAGGTTTATTAACCTCTCAACATGCTCCGAGGTGATGGGGTGTTCCCACATAAGTGTGTTCATTGCTGGGCAGAATAGCAGTGGCTTATTGACGTCCCACGCACGGACTGTGCAAGTCTGTTAACAAACAGGAATTTTCAGTAACAATTTTCCAACCCTAGTGGTGCATTCAAGCTGGTGTTTATCTCTGGAATCTGTAACATGAAATGACTAGAGGTGTATCACCACTCCCGCTGGACGGGAAATGATGGACTTATATAAGCATTCCATCCAGGGGGAGTAGCAATAAAGTACTCCACTGAGTCTACACCTAGTTGTTTCATGCTATGGAAACCGGGTTCCCGGGGCGGGGGGACTTCCATATAAAAGCGACGGGGGTGAGGGGGTGATCGTCATACCTTTTAGGGGTTAAAATTTGTGGTTTGGTACCGCTTAGGGTGTTAAAATGACCACCATTTAATAGAGTTATTCCGGACCTTTTACGGTATTAAGTCAGGAAAAAAAATGACAGGAACTAGTATTGTCTTAGAATTGGTACCTGTTAGGGGTAAAAATATATTCGAGCCACACCCACAAAGTTTGATTTTGGTACCTTGTAGGGGTTCTTTTGAAAATTTTTGACGATCACCCCCGTCACTTTTATATGGGAGTCACCCCCGGGCCAGCGTTACGCACCAGCCTGGTAAGCCACCTTAAAGCTTGAAGACAGAATTTACTCCTTTTTAACCTGGATGGGATACCAGGGAACAACCCAACAATTTGCTGGTACCCATTTATACACCTTGAAAGAAAGAGCCTTAGAGGTAATCAATAGAACTGTTAACTGACAAGGGCCAGGCCAAATCCGAGGCCCTCAAGCTCGACGCCATCCATTATGCCACCATGCTTCTTGTATAATTAATTATCCTGGTGTCAAAAATTAGAAGAAAAGAATAAATCAAAATGCATAATTACCAAGAGGTTGTCACACAAACCATTAGCAAGTTTGGCCATAGTGTTGGCATCCAGTGGTGCGATAACCATGAGATCTGCCCAACGTCGCAACTACTGAAAATTAATACAAAATTAACAATGCTGCAAGTAGGATTTTAACAGAAAAATGTACTAATGGATAGTGTTATAACTGCATGACTGTTGGCAAACTCGCAATCTGGCTTTTAGGAGTGAAACGGTTATGCTGACTTTCTTTAAAGGTAATTAAGGATGGTGCCTCCTTTTGTTACTGCGCATACGTTCTACGCATGATTTATGGCATCATTAGCGCGTGCACATACAGAACATTGCGGAATCTCTTTCAGGCTAAGCTCGGCAGGGAAATATATGGCCGTTTTCTTCATATAACTTACAAAAACGCATGGTGACCCCTACTTTTTATGTTATAAAATGGAAGCGTAAGTCTATTGAACATATGATTAATTTTTTGTTGTGTGCAAAAGTTATTTAGACTGTATTTTTGGTATACCAGAGGAGAGCTGTCAGGGTTGATAATGGCTACGTTGCGATGATTTTTAATTAAAAAACACATAAACAGTAGTTGTTATATTACCATTTGTTAAGTATTTTAAAGCTTTTTATATTTATTGTTGCTTTTGTGTATGTCAAGGCAAATTCAAAGGGAATCTGCGAAAAAAAATATTTTTCTTTTTTTCCCAAGAAAATGCTATTTCAGCATTTTTTTCCAGATTGAAGCTTGATTATCTCTGAAAAATGCGTGGTTACCCCCAATTTCCTTTTTGGATTCCAATAGCCCTTACTAAGATCTGATTTTCCCGCATAGTCATAAACCCGCGCAAAAATACTTTGGTATTAGGAGGCACCGTCCTTAAGTGAGTAATTCTTTATAATTTTATAATACGTCATTTTACCTCAATATGCAGAACAGGATCCTGCATTGCACTCCATCCCTACCAGTTTTAAAGAAAGAAAAACCATCACTTACAAAGTGATACATTTTTTTTTGGATTTTGACAATAATAATGTCAACTATTCTGCAGTATTTTCATATTAGAATAGATAACAAAATAATGACATTTGCATATTTAAACAAAAACTTTGAAGGTACAAAAACAAGGAAAGATACCTAGAAATGTTTTGTGAATGACAAGTTAGAAAAATTGTTTCAAACCTACCCCATTCATCCTTGTCTCTTAAAACTTTCACTGGAATTTTATCCTTATCAAAGAAATGCATAGAGTTTTCTGTAGCAATAATTTGGATGTTTGGCTGGTAAAAGTAAGAGAATAAGAAAATAAAGTTTAGTACTATGTTGTGATTCAGGATAAACAAGCGGTTGTATTAAACAGACATCTTTATTCTCCGAGCATGCTTTCCATGTGTGTTGCATGCGCATGCGCTAACACAAGTGAGTTGCATAATAAACTATGACATACTATAAAGTTCCTTGTGCTGGTTGGGAGTACTTAAATAAATCCAAGTATCCACTAATTATATAATATATTTTACTGATGTTGCATACAGTTAAACCTCTCCACAACGGCCACCCTGGTGCAGAATTATCTGGCCATTGTAGAGAGGTGGCCGTTGTAGGGAGGTTTCAATATGAGTAAAGTGTATGAATTGGCGCACGGTCGGGACGAAAAATCCTGGCTGTTGGCCATTATAGAGAGGTGGCCGTTAGTGGAGGTTCGACTGATATGCAAGGTTATAGAAACAAAAGGTTCTTGTTTCATTAACGTTTTTCTCCAATGTGTCTTAAGATTCATGTACAGTTGCAAAATGTAATGCTACTTGTTGACACCATGACATACTGCTTGCCATGTTCCCGTACGCCGTTCAACAAGTTGACCAAAATAGAGCTTGTCTCTATTCCAGTCAACACTGTTCAACAATGTCAGCAGTCTTTTTTCAGCATTCAGAACTGAAGTGAAGTGTTTATGAGCCTAGTGGCCCACAACTGCTGGAGCTTATCCCGGTTTCTGTAGCATGAAGCGGGGCGGAGAGGGCTGGAACTGTGAGAGTAAACTGTCTTGCCCAATAACACAACACAGTGACCCAGGCCAGGGCTTGAACCCGGACAGCTCGGTCTGGAGTCCAGCGTGCTAACCATTAGACCACCGCGTCTCACACTTCAATATTCAGAACATACCGGTAATTATTACTATTACATACATGTTCCAGGCTCTTGATCAGTTTGTGGGAAAAACTAGAAGTGGGAAAGCATAGGCAAAAAATGAGGGATTCCTGCGCATTTTATTTTTGCATTCGCTTTCTTTCGCTCATCATCATCATCGTCGTCCCCACTATCTGAGTGAGAGCCTGGAACAGGCTACATAATTACATGATACCCACCTTGTTCCTAGGGTCTCTCTTCAAAAGCGAAGCCGCTTTTGGGGGAAGAGAGACCCTGGGAACGAGGTTGACATGATACAAGGTGCATCATTAGTTAATAATTAACAGTAACAACCGTTGACCAACAAATGTTGACCAACAAATGTTGACCAAATATATCATCAGCTGACAGACTCCAGCATGAAGCCTGTGAGGGGTTGAAATTGTAGGCAAGGGGGATTCCCTTAGGGATGGGACATTTTTATATGGATGGCGTTGAGCACTTTTTTCTGAGAAATAATTTTTCAGTCAAGAGTAGCAGGAATTGTTCGATGTTTTTTGTTTGGCTCGTTATGCAAGATTTTTTTTCATCCACTTTCCCTATGCAGTATTTTTTTAGCCATTGCCCACCCCCCACCCCCACCCCCTTAAAAATAAAATGGTCCATCCAGCTCTCAGATTGAAATAAACGATGCATTTCCTTCGTTCTACAAACAAAAAATTATCTGAGAGCTCGGCAATAGTAGGGCTAAAATAGCAAATAGAATGATTTAACCAAAATAAATCATTTGATATAGCACAGCGCATTGGAGCAACACAAAATACATTTATATTTGTGATTTGGTTCTGCGAGTGACACGGTACCTTTGGTTGCAAGAGGAGGAGTTCATCTACAAGCTTCGATAATTTTATACTCGCTACGCTTCCAGTGACTCCAATTAAAACATTTTTCTGACTCTTCCGTCTCTTCGTTGTTGACAGCCCCTCTTCGTCCGCCATTTTTGATTGTTATTATTATGGAGGCAACCGCTGACCAGAACGCGCCATTCTAAAAACGAGGAGAGACCTGGGGGCGAATGTTGTTTTCTGACCAAAAAAATCCCCACAAACCAGCCAAAATTTTCCCCCGAACTGACACACGCGATAACATATCACACGAAAGAAGGGACAGGTATAGAAAACAGTCGCATGCGTCGCAGACGCAGACGTTCGAGCTATCTGTGACGCAGGCTAGAATCTGAATACCCGATTTCCTCTTCGCCCTTACGACCGCTTAGGAGCCTGTTCACAGGCTACCAACATTTCAACTAGGAGGGCAAAATAACTGTCAACAGGTTTGTTACAGAGGGGTGTAAGAAGTAAAGTAAAGTAGCCTGTTTCAGGCGTTCGGATAGTGGGGGAGCGTCGCGAAAAGACGCGCGAAGCACGAAGAGCGCCCCCCCCCCCCCCCCCCCCCCTCCCCCCAATCCCCTCGCCTTTCTTTCCTCGCCACTCTTCGCGCTTCGCGCGTCTTTTCGCGACGCTCCCCCACTATCCGAACGCCTGGAACAGGCTAGAAGGAAAGTTAAATGTTTATCAAACGAAACGAACAATTGATGGGAAAATAGTCACAAATAAGATGTGTATCTTTTCACCACAGTTTAGTCTGGAATACCTCCCCCCTCCACTATGCACAGGGGAAGCATCTTGGTAATTTGACATGTATTCAATCTTGCCTGAATATCTGAATACCCATCTCACAGAGGACGAACGATGGAGAGCAATATCGCGCTGTCATGGTATCGTTATTCATACTTTAGTTTAATTTGGTTATGCATGAGCTATTAGCTCGCTATAGCTAAAATATTTATGTACCTGCATCAAAAAAGAAATGTAAACAAAACAGTGCGTAGCAGCAACAAACTGCATGATCTTTCGGCGCTGCAAGGAAACCGAAATATTCCTCCCAGCCGTAGTAATCTAAATTAAGAAAAGAAAAGGTTTTGTTCTGACCAGTTCTAGATGGAACATTTTCTTAACAACACTCTTTCGTTCTCGAAAAGCGACTTTTTCTCTTAATCTCAACTACCGCTTCTTGTGTAGGCTTGTCACGTTCTTTTATAGCCCATCCTAGTACGAATCTTTCCATAATTTCCCGCGCTATGCACTCAAACGCTTCATCAATGCTTTCGTTTTCCTTGGCGCTCGTTTCAAAGAATGACATGTCGTATTCGTCGGCTAGCATCTCTCCTTCTTCGCGTTTCACATCTCGTGGCTGTTGCATATCGCACTTGTTTCCTATAAGCAGTTTAACGACGTCTTCCTGAGCATGCTCGTCGATGTTCCTCAACCATTTTGCAATGTTTTCAAACGAACGCCTGCGGGTGATGTCGTAAACGAGCATTATTCCAACGGCTGTTCTGTAGTACGACACACTGATCGCGTGAAATCGTTCTTGTCCCGCTGTATCCCAGACTTGTAGTCGTACTTTCTTTCCTTCCACATCGATGGTGCGTAACTTTAAATCAATCCCGATGGTAGAGATATAAGTTTGGTTGAAGACATCGTCCGAAAAACGCCACATAAGGCTCGTTTTTCCAACGCCAGCATCTCCAAGAAGCAAAACCTTGAACATGTAGTCGTATGTTTCTTGATTTGAAATCTTTTTATACGCCATTTCAAACTCTAACTGGACTAGAGAGGGCACAGTCCGAAGACAATTTTTTTTTCTTTGATACTTTCTTTTTTATACGTGCAGGTGGCACACGCGTTTTTAAGCTCCGTGATTGACCGTGATTGGCCAAAAATTACGCAACTCAAAATGAACTGGCTGCACTAGGGACAAAGTCACGCACGTGAAAATTGAGAAGAAAGTACCATTATAAGCTCGGATATATCGAACAAATCTTGATCTAGTCCAGTTGAACCGGCCACTGACATTTCTAAATGAACACCAGAAATAACGATATTGAATATTATGGCACGCGCGGGCGAACACAGCCAATTCATTTTTAAACGCCTACATGAACGTCAAGAACGTAAAGATGGCGGCTCGCAAACTGGCCTCCCCGGGTTTATCTATTCGCCCTTCGCCCCACTAAGGAACCTTTTCACAGGCTACCTGCATACCACGTCATCTGGACTGTTTACTAAGCAATGGGTTAGAATCTGGGGATAGACTTAGGAGCGCGTCCCTGCAACAAGTTCCTTAACTTGTAGCTGTTCACACAAGGGGACTGGTTTGCAGACTTGTAGCAAGACTGTGCCCTGGGGAAAAGTCCCTTGAGCGTACACACGAGGGGACCTGATGCTGTTGAGACAGTCCCATTTGGTCTTTGATTGGTTTATTTTCTTATTTGGTCGAAGGGACTAGTCCCACAAACAGTACACACGAGAGACAAACACAATTCGAGGGGACAAGTCCCCGGGATTACTCAAATGGGACATGTTGCAGGGACTGCAACTAGATTTTCTGACGAAAATGGGAAGCTCACAGAAGGGATTTGATACCTCATATAGCAACGCGTCCCAGCTGAAATGCAAAGAAAGAAGATCTCGAAAATCCTTAGACCGCTTTAACTTCAAGCGTAGTCAAGTCTCGAAGGTCTATATCTTTTGAAATACAATTTTAATCAGTCTTCCACGTACCATTAGTCCCTTTTATAGGGAATACAAACAAGCTACAACAGCTTATAATTGATTGCAATAAATTATTACAGCTTTTTTACACAACGAGCCTTCCTTCAACCAAACTTGCGCCGCCATTTTTCTTGGTACTTTCGGCAGCCGTCTGTGTAGAAGTAATTTTGCTTTCCTGTGCAACAGGATTCTTAACTTCAAATTTCTTTCCTTCGGTGTTATTTTCGTTGTCTTTGTGGTTTGGCTCAGTGGCTTTGGCTGGCGACTCCTCCTTCTTGCCCGTCTCAGTTTTGTTGGAAATGTTCTGCTTGGATGGATTTTCAGCCTCTACATTTTCTCCTCCATTCATTTCTACTCCGGCATCATTTGTCTGAGGCGCTTTTTGTGGAGAAATTTCCTTTGCCTTCGTCTCGTTTGCGTCAGAAATCTCTGCCTCGTCATTTTCGTCCTGTCCATCATTTTCGTTCTCATCTCCGTTCTCATCTCCATTCTCCTCTTCGTCGTCGTCGTCGTCTTCCGACGATTCGCTCTCCCCCTCTTCGTCATTATCCGGATCGTAGTTGGGATCTTCGTCGGAAAACGTAGTCATTGCTGACAGCGATAAGCTCCACGATCAATGTATCGTCGCCCTCTTTCTTGTCGTATTTGCGCTTCCGGTCAGGAGAAACCGGAAATGGTTGTGAAGCATCCACTATTCGGTGGTAGTCGCCTTTGGCTTTGTAGCGATTTGATCTCCTCGGCTTTCTGCCTGAGTCCATCCTGTGGGAATTAACATGCATACTCAGTGAGTTACAGAGAATAGAACATAAGCCTATAGACATAGAAAACGCGCACTTTGATAGAGCAGTTTTCAATTGGGTGTCGAAAGCCTCTGTGATTGGTTTAAAAAACTCGCGCCACCTACTCAACCAATCACATGCCAAAACCAAAACTAATCGCGACTTGGTCACACGCGTTTTCCCGCGCTTTGCGCTGGTTATATGTTTTTGCTTCGAGTTTTCATTGGTTCATTGTGTTGTTTACGTTTGTTATGATTGGCCATTGTCATTGTTTTGGTTTTGGTTTTGGTTTTACGACACTCAATTGAAAAACCACTCTACTTCACATTCAGGAATTCATCTGCATGTAAAACTGGAACCTAGAAATGCTACACTCTAATATAATTTGCGACGACTTGAATTGCAACTGAATAACGTTCTTGTGGCTTTGTCAGAACATGTGTTTTATTTTTCACGAGCAAACTATTTTTATCATTACACTAAAGAGAGGAGTTGTTATCGACATACCCTTCCATCTCCGAGGATTGGCGGAGAGAAGAAAACTTGCCATTATTTGTCGGGTCACAGAAGACTGCTAAACATTTCTTGTACTACCTACAATTTTGGAAAAGCTTC